ATGGCACAGCAGACCTTCCCTGACCCGCCCGCTGCTCCCCGCTGCAGTGTATTTCAGTTGACCTGCCTGTTCTGCTCCCCACTCTGTCTCTGATCAATCATCTCACCCCCCACGCCTCTGGCCTGTACCCCAGTTCTGCAAGCTTAAATAAATAAATCTTAAAAAAAAAAAAAAAGATATGGAAACCTTTCAAACTTTCCACAAAAGCAAGCAAGAAGTGGGCGAATACTATCTTTTATTGAAGGTCCTAAAATCATGCTTTAGGTTTTATGTTGGGTCCATTTGTCTGGGATGTGAGACATTTGCTTCTCCATCCTCAACAAGATCAAAGGTCCAACGCTTTGTCAGGCGCTGAGAATATGGGCTGATGAAAGCGTTGTCAGGTTACTGACAAACAGCACAACCCTAATGATTCATTTCTTATTTCTACCAAACTGACATATTTAGCCCCAAATTCTTAAGCCTCTATGCCTGCTCCAGAATATGTTACTGAGCTCTATTCTTTCAAAAACAAGGCACCCAAATCCACCTTATCTTTGGTCACAGCTGCATGCTGAGCCCAGGCTCCCCCTTGCCACAACCACAAGTGCTTCACCCAGGGCCAAGCACACCTGCCTTGTGTAGCAGGTGCAGAAATAACAGTTGCTGGATAAAGGAAGAACTCAAGAACTCTAGAAATCTTTAGGGGACTTGCACACTCTTTGGATAAAAGTCTGACTTTTTACAATACAGCAAAATAACTCAAGACAGGTTTTGGAGTCAAGCTTAAAATCCCAGCTCTATCTGGAACTAGAAAACAGTTATTGGAAGTTCATTGGGCAATTTTCACTTGTCTTGAAAATGAGGATAATAGCGTGTAACTATGTACATAATTATTTATGAAGATGAAGCGAAAACCCATGTAAATAATTTATTATACTTATTAAATGATTTATTAAGGAACCTGGCATATAGTAGATCTTTAACAAGTTTTACAACTTTGATCACCCACAAGTTAGTCTTATAGTACTGTTAAGTTTCTTTCATAGCCCTTGTTTTCATATTTATCATCTCACTCCACCCAACTGTTCAACATAGCCAAGTGACAAAGTTAACTAAGCGGAAGACAGTAAATCCCATGTAAGCACCTAGAAGAGGCCTCACACTGTTCAGATGCAATGGAAAAATGAAAAGTGTACATATAATTAGGACCATCATCTGGGTCCTCCCTGCTGGTGCAGGGGTTAAAGTCTCAGTGCTATCAAGCTATCACCAGCCACTGCAGCACCAATTCAACATAGTACAGCAGACTCCTCCTATCTCACCACTGCTCCCCTCAGCAGGGTATTTCAGTAGATCTGCCTGTTCTACTTCCCACTGTCTCAGGTGAATGCGCTCACCAACCCCCCTACCCCACCACTGAATTACACCCCAGTTCTTGTATGCAAAAATAAATAGAAACAAATCTTAAAAAAAAAAAAAAAAAGACTACTATCCAACAAAGCAGGATTCCTGTGAAAAATGCCAAGAAGGGAGCTGGGAAATAAAGAGGATGGCCTAGAGGGCTGGTGTGAGATGAAGAGACCATGTCTTCCCCTTCAAAGTGATTGACGTTGGCCTGCTCTTCAGCCTCAGCCTGGTGTCCAAGTGAATTCAGGACCCTCCGCCCATGAAGCCACCACACGATGAGAGTAAAAGGGCACTGTCTTGTTCTTTACCTGTCAATCATCACCTGAGCCTGGGAAATGTATAACAGCCCAGTTATTTGTTTTGTCTCTAGAGGAAGGAAGAGCTTGAGTCAAGAAGGCAGATGTAGCAAAGCACCTGAGCCCACCTGTTCATGACTTCACCTCCAGCCCTACCATCCCCCACCTTCCTCCCCTGACTTCCTCACCCAGACTTTAATTGCGTCTCCCTCTCTGCCAGGCACAGTCAGGTGGCAGACTGGTAGGTGTGGCCCAGCCATTTTCCCACCTGGGTAATTCCCCAATAGTTACACCCCTTCTTCGGTTATCCCCTCCATTCCAGTTAGTTATCGGCTGCCCCATCACCCTTGAACCCAATATAGGTCTCAGGTGCCCAGTTTTCTGGCCCCTTACTTGTCTGGTATGAGGCTCCATGTATCAATCTCTGGAGGGTCCTTGCTTAGGGGGTTGCAAGTAAAATTAAGTGACAAACAAAATGAAATGGAAAAAATGTTAGTTGGCATTTAGTATGTGCTTAGAGTGCCAAGCACTGTTCTAAGCCCTTTGCAAGTATGGACTCACTTCTTGGAATTAGCCTATGAAACAGGACCCCATTTTCACATTAACCCATTTTATAGAAGAGGAACTGAGTCAGAGAGAGGCTAGGAAAATCAGCCCAAGCCATAATCACGGGTGTGGCAAGCCACGATGCTAACCCACACTGTCATGGTCTAGAGTCCAGATCTGACCACGCAGGCGCCTACAAGACAGAAAATATCAACACACAATGCATCCATCCCTGCCTGGATGCGGCCCCCTGCCCAGGGAGGGAAGCAGACACTGGATTTCAGGCACAAGTTCACAGGCCATGGGGTGACGCCTGTGCTTCCCTTCTTGCAAAAGATTCCATCCTGTCCCACAAGCAGCTGAGAACGTTTTAACTGATGAATGAGACAGAGTGATAACTGAAAATAAAGAGCAATCACACAACCTCTTTTAAAGCAGGAAGTTACCCAATGAGAAAATATTTTTTCCTTTTTATACAGGCATCTGTGAGTTTACAGAGTTGAAAGTAAAGCAAGTGCCTAACTTAAGCTTGGTGGTCCAGACTGCCTAGCAGAGGGTATCCACGTCAAAGAGAGCCAGCGAGACACGCAAGGCCAGCTGGCTCTGTCCACTGGGGCTTGTTTTATGGACACTGATTGTTTTCGGGAGCTGGTCAACTGAGGCTGACTTGTTTCATTTCTTTTCCTTCTTTTGTCTCTCTTCCTGCACTTTAAATTTCAGTTCTTATGATTTTTTTTACTCATCAATAGAGTGAGCCCATGAAATCCTAAGACTCACCCCCAAAGTCCCAAAAGATGCAGAACCCTAGGTCCCACCTCCCTCTCCCTCTTTCTCCCTTCCTCTTCTTTCCTTTCATTTTTCTCTCATTCCCTACAGCCTCACTGTGACCCATGTGTGCTCTGCAATTTCCAGGTCTTGTCATTGTAACAGTGCGATATCCTTAGAAAAGGAGGTTCCGGCCCTCCCTGCTGGCACAACGGGTTAAAGTGCAGCACTGCAAGCTAGCTGCAGCCATTCCAGTGTGAGTTCAATCCCCACCTGCCCTGGAGGTGATCACATGGCCCGCCCGCTGCTCCCCTCAGCAATGTACTTCATCAATCTGCCTATTCTGCTCCCTACTCTGTCTCAAGTGAATCCTCTCACTGCCCTATACCCCAGTTCTGTATGCATAAGTAAATAAAATCTTAAAAAAAAAAAAAAAGAAAGAAAGGGGAGGTTCCACCCCAGGAAGGGTGAAGCTGAACAGCAAAACTAGAAGATTTGGAGGAAGGAAGTGGAACAGAAACACGTGAAAAAGTCATGCTTGCTGCTCAACCTTGAACTTATAAGATACAGTAGGAAACCCCTGAAGCTATGTGGGTGAGAGATCACAGGGAGGCTGACAATGGCAGCCTTTATCTCAACTTATATTTTGATTTTGCTCCTTTTCTTCCAGCTCACTTGGCCTCTTCTGCCCTTTCCTCATGGGTTACCACCGGGAGGTACCTTAGAATATTGCCAAGATTTTGGGCCTCAGTGGCACTGCTTTAGGCCAACCCAGGTTGGCTGGGCATTTACTCACAAAGAGATGGTAACTTTGGGTGTTTCATAAGGACACTATTTTAACTGTATCCTTTCTCTTTTCTTCTCTCTATTGCACACTAATTGTATTAAACTTCTTTTGTACTGAAAGTCTTACACATGAGGAATAGTTTGTCTTTCTACTGAGGATACCAGAGGAATAGTTTGTCTTTCTACTGAGGATACCAGAGGAATAGTTTGTCTTTCTACTGAGGATTCCAGCTGACAGGTCTAGGGGCCCTGCGGGCCCTCAGCCTGCCAGTGTAACATAAATGATAAACCTCTATTTTTTCAAAGTTCCCTGATGGTTTGTTCACCCTTTGTAGCCTGTCTGAAGGGACAGGTCCAAGCATCGTTCCTTATGTTTTTTGCTGAAGGGCATTTTGCAGTCATAATAAGAAGTCTAGGGGAAAGTCTATAAATAGGCTGAGACCAACACAAAGCAGTATACTTCTGACTAAAAATGAAGGAACACTTACCTATAGTTGAGGAGACATTTCTCACATCGAATCAAAAATAGGACATGAGAAAGTGAGGTCACACCTGAAATCCTGGGAAATTCAGTCTAATATTTGCTAATTTGACCTCCTCTTAAATTCTCTTCCCATAAAACTACCATGGTAACATTTCAAATGAGTCTAAAAGATAGTTCTGACTCATTCTAAGAGAATGTTGAGAAGCTGTAAAGCTGAAGAAATAACCTTTTAAAAAATCCTTTTTTAAAAAAATAGATAAATAATTAAACATAATGTTATTCCACTGACTTAGGTTGTTCTCATTCTCTTTTGATGCACTACCAGTGACTAATTCAGTCTGAATCAGACACCCGACGACTGAAGGGAAAAATAAATTCAGATCCCAACAACGTTGGCACAGGCAGGACAGACACAGCCTGACAGATCCTGGTCACTGCATCAGGTAGGGCCATAGGGGTGAGTCTGACCACTGAAACGGTCTGCACTTTGAAGGCAGGTCCTTAAAATCTCGAGTGCATTTCTCCACATATTTCTCTCGCCTACCAGTCAGATACAGAGGATCCTGCAGAAAAGTCCAAGGTCTCAGACAATGAAGTCACAGGGTGACCACATGGGACATGAGAGAGAAGCCACCCCTCATTGCGTGAAACCACACATTTTGGCAGTAGCTTGTGACGGCAGTGTGTAGCTCACTCATGTTAGAGCTTGTCTGTGCCAGGGCTCCCTCATTTACCTGTGTCATTGCCAATGCAATCGATGATCAGGCAGATGCCCAGAGGATTGCTCTGCATCCTGTATCTCTCCTCTGGTATGTTCTGGAAAGAAAAGCAGGAATTGTTAGAATCTGGACACTGTTATTTCTGCAAGTTTCCACCCAAATGTCACCTGTTCTTTTCCTTAAACATCTCTTTGAGAAGTGAATCATTCAGTAGACACAATCTGATAACATCAAGGCTGACTTCCTTTGAGTAACATATTTCCTCCATTACGATAATATGCTTAAGACAAAGAAGCGCTTTCTGTTTCTGTTCATTTTAGTTAAGATTTTAGTCTCCTACACATGCCTCAGTGTTACAGAATAGTGATAAAATAATTTGAAAGTGGGAGAAAAAAGTGGGTCTTATGTTTCCACAGTAACCTGAAGTGGAACAAGCCATATTTTTCTACCTCAGTACAAAAGAAGACCTTCTATTTGCCTCTCTTTACAGAGAAGAGGGGCAGCAACCTAAAAAAAAAAGCAGAACAAGGCAAGGTTCATTCTCATAGTCCAGTTGTGTGGTCAGCAATCACTTGCTAAGAATGTCACTGTGGAATTCCCCTGCATTCCAAAGTTCACTATTGCAATCCACTCTGCTATTTCCAAGGCCCCTGGTTGAAGAGCTCTCAGAGAAAGAGCCAGCTTAGTACACCCTCACCACAAAGGGCTCTTAATGGACAGGTATTTTTAAAGAATCAGTATTTTCCACAGATACATAAAATACAAAACAAATCAGATCACTTTTTTCTGTACCTGAGGTATCTGAGACAGAAATGCTCCTGATTCCTGAACAGATATCTTCACTGGTTCTCCTGGAGGGGAGGGGAGAGGATTGATAAATCATTTACAAAGATGAAGAACTCAGTTCACTCATGCTGGCTGAGTTTCTTTATTTCACAATGGTTCACTTCTGCTATTTCCTTCAATTATCTCTTATTTTACTCAGCTCCCAAGTTTCCGGTCTCACACCGTAAAGAATCTAACTGGTAAGAAAACACTAGCTCACATGCTAAATGGGGTTATATAGAAAAACTTTCTCTGCCCCTCAGAACTCCAGGTAAAGACCAGGTGACAGGTAAGATTTTAACCTGATAGTAAGAATCGTCTAACTTCACCCACAACATGACCAACAGCCTTTCTACACAAGCAACTGGAAAACACTGTAGACATTGCAGAGAAGGGAGTGTTTACATGGATTTGTGCCTTAAGGAACAGATGGCCATGTTTTCTTAGTCCAGTGATACTGGGAGATCATAAAATAAAATGTCAATAGCAAGATGGTTAGTACGGAGTGAGTAAATACGGATAAGCCTAACGACAATTTTGTTAGATAAAAATGAGTTTGCTAACCCAGGGAGGTGGAAAAACTAACAGTTTCTAAGCCACAAAGGTTGGTTAAAGTCTAACACTAGCTGCACTGGACTCTGGTGATGGCACATGGGTAATCTGGTGATGGGAAGCCCACAGGGATTACAACTGAGATGGAAAAAGACACAAAATGATGGAAAAATAATTACATTATTTCTAAAAAATCTAGCACTAGTATTGATAAGCTCTGCGATCTTGGACAAGTTTCTTCCAGAAGGCTTAGGGGGACTTTTTTTAATCTCTAAGATGAATTCACCAGTATTTACCATAGAAGTGTAAAAATATGTAACACGAAATATGTCTATTTTTGGCAGAAATTTGATTTTAGGGAAGATCTCTGAAGGCTGAGTGGAGAATGCTTTTGAAATCAATATTGAAACTTCCCTGTAACTATCCATTTCAAGAAGACCTAATCCCCTTATCTCTTTTCAATGGAAAAACTGAAGTAAGTATCTTTGTGTTTACTCCAGTAAGCACTCTTATGACTCCTACTCCCAATCCTCCAACCTCCCAGTGTAAAATCATATCTAGGGCCCTCCCTGGTGATGCAGCGGGTTAAAGTACAGCACTAAGCAGCTAAAGCCACTTCAGCATGAGTTCAATCCCCGCCCTGGAGGTGATCCACGTGATGGGAAGACCTCTCCTGACCGGCCTGCTGCTCCCCTCAGCAGTGTACTTCATTGATCTGCCTGTTCTGCTCCCCACTGTCTCTGGTGAATCTTCTCACTGACCCTGCACCTCTGGACTGTACCCCAGTTCTGTATGAATAAATAAATCTTTTCAAAAAATCGTATCTAAAGCCTCATGGGTGAGTTACTCAATCATGCTGGGTCTCTCTCATATATAAGGGGATATAGATGTTATTAAACTTCTAAGTGGCTTCTTCTCTTATCAATTTGTCTGATGTTTTTCTACTTGCCAGTTGCAGAACCCTGTAGGCAATTGAAAAATAATGCTGGTATTAGTAAGATTTGGGGGAAATGAGAACTTTCAAATGTTAATGTTGCATAACTTGAAACTGTCTTAAAACTGGCACTATTCTTTAAATTAACATTCTGCTTCTAGAAGTTTATCCTAAGAAGATAGGAAGTGAGTAAAAATATCAAGGCTAACTACTGAATATTTGTACTGTCCCCAAACTAGAAAGAGGCTAGAAGCATATACATTTTTTAAGCACACTTATGCTTAAAAGGGCTGAGGGCCATAAATTAATGGTGGCTACTTCTGACACTTGGAATTAAAAGAATATTTTACTTGCATTTTAGCAATCACAAGGTAACAGAATAAAAACACAAAATAATCTATGTAATTATGCATATTTCTGTAAGGCGTGTTGTAAGAGTTTACTAAATTGCTGTGATCATCACCTTCATTCACCTGAAATTTATTTTCAAGTCCAAGTTTATATGAATACTTGGTTTGTTTTAAACTTCTTATATTTAGGTCAAGTTGTCAGAATGCATTTTTCTTTTATTAGTAAGCAAACCAAGTTTAAGCAAAAGCCAGAAAGTGGCTCTAAGGTTCACCAACAGTTTTCTAAGGAAAACCAACAGCATCTAAGCCACAAAATGTTGGTTAAAACCTAGCACTATCACTGACGAGCTCTGTGATCTTGGGCAAGTTCCTTCCAAAAGTCTGGGAGATTTTTTAAATCTCTAAGCCTCCCTTACCTTACCTGTGTAATTAAGATTCAGGATAAACCTACCCCCAGGGAGAGCAGTGGAGAGGACATAGATTGTTTCTAGCTCCTTTCCATTTCTACCAGGTCTCCTATGTTGCTTTAAGTAGCTTTCAGAATGCTAATCTTCACCAGCTCACCGGGATTTTAAGATACATGCTGTCACTGCGGGAATTAACTCCCTGCCCACTGGCTCTGGCTGGGGAGATGAATGTTAGGGAGGGTGACAGATGTGAGCTGCATATCTAGCTAATTTGGGCACGGTGATTCTCAGTTCCGGTGATTCTCACACAGCCAGCACCAAGTCCCACCATGACATTTAAGCGAGGGGTCTGCCACACAAAGACTTCATTCGGCCACTGCCTGACATACAGTGCTCACCATCCTCACTGCACACAGGACAAGTTCCAAGCCTGTCAGGTAAGGAGGAGTCTTCCTTACCTGCCTACCCCGCCTTCTAGAGTTCTGATGCTCAGTCACCTGCACTGCAGTGTGAGGCCAGTGTGAGCCCTCACTTCAAAGACTCAAGGCAAGCAAAAGAAACACACTTGGGGGGAATAATTGTTATGGGATCAGATGCTGATTTTTAAGTGAAGAAATCATATGGGTTGAATGGCTAGTTTCTGCTGTTTCATCTTAGGGGATGAGGAGATTTCATCTATAGAGTTTTCAGATTCATTAAATGGGCTATCAGGGCCCTTCCTGGTGTGCAACAAGTTAAAGCACAGCCCTATGAAGCAACCGCAGCCACTTGGGTTTGAGCCTCGGCCAGGGAGATGACCCATATGGTGCAGCAGACCTCTCCTGTCTGGCCTGCTGCTCCCCCCAGCAGTGTCGGTTCAGTAGATTAGCCTGTTCTGCTCCCCACTCGGTCTCTGGTGAATCTTTTCACCACCCCTGCACCTCAGTTGTGTATGCACAAATAAATAAATCTTAAAAAAAAAAAGTAGTCTTACTTTGAAGTTGTTCCACAATGATATTTTGTCCTTTAGTTCTCCCATTCTGGAGCTTCAAATATAAAGAATAAGGCCACACTCTGTTAGTTTTTTTTAGGGGCACATTATATTACACCTCTTTAAATATCTCAATGGGATTGAGGAAAAAATAAAAATATCACATTCATAGTTAAGTGATATAAATAAGAACAGCAGGAGTCACTAAGTCCATAAATCCCACATTCCACTGTCAAAAGAACAAGGTAACCCTTTCAAAGTGAAAATACATGAGCAGGTAAACAGGCTGAATTTGAATGTCTCAAGCAGTTTAGGAAAGTCAGATGTTGTGGTATAGCAGGGTTGCTATAAAAGCTCCAAGTTGGAACAAGCAATTCACATTCAACCTGATCTTGAACAGAGGTAACTATGGTAAGGTCAAGAGTAGAAGTTCTAGCCCAGATAACTGGGGCTATGAATCCTGCTTCTGCCACTTACCAGCGATATAACCTTGACTAAGTTATGTGACCTTGATATGTCTGTTGCTTTATTTTCACAAGGATAATAATAGCACCTATCTTATAAATTTTTCATGAAGATTATGTGTACATAAAGTACTCAGATCAGTGCCTAGCACACCAAACTGCTTAAAAAAAAAAGTCAGTTACTGTTTTCTGTAATTGCCTAGCTAATAGAGCCACATGTGGGCTGGATTCTTAATAATCAGCTGCTACTTCTGAGGGCTAGAGTGAGATTAATCAAAGAATGAAAGACTGAACTGACCCTTTCTCTTCTCAGATGACATGTCTCGTGTAAGGTACGCATACCACATACTGTCAACCATCTGATACGCCCAGCTCTCAAATGACAGCTCTCCTCTGAAGCTATCCTAGCCAAAAGAAAGAAGTACACTATTCATTAAACTGTGTCTGTAGGTAAGTTGTGTGTTTCAATTCAAGAAAGAACACGTAAGTTGTTTTTATCACTAATCATCTATGAATCAGTCAGAGGCTTACAATATTAAATTTGAACCCCATAGGGATGTACATTGACTTTTACATATTATTAAAAAGCAGGTCATCAAATCAAGCTTAGATTTTAAAAGTACTATATTGCAAAGCCATACAATTTATTCTTTAATATGCTGGTGTCATCTGTCATTTGTCACGGTAATTTTTAAAACACTTTTGCTGCCTTGTATGAGCGAGGTATTTGGCTCCTAAATCTTAGGAGAAATTCACTGAATTCAAATGCTACAGTGCTGGCTTACTAAATGAATAAATGACCAGAGTCACAGAGTAACACTGAGAATATAAGGAGAAATTTATGTACCGGGCATATGGGTTTCCCAACAGGCTACACTGACAGTGAATACAATTGCTTACATTAACAAAATGCAAAGCAATAAATAGTACAATAATGACAGGCTTTAACTAAAAGGAACAGTGTAACTTATGCCAGGTAGATAATAGCACAGAAAGGCCAGAAAATCTGGATCTAGATCCTAACCATTTTTGTTAATAATTTGGTAATAGCAATTCAGAAGGACAAAAGAAAGAATATTTGATTTTTGGAAAAATGATAAATCCATCTAAGCGATGGTTAGGACTCAAATGTAATTTATTAAATATACTCTGGTTAAAGAAAGGAGTATGGACTGGGCCCAGTGCTGGGGATAGTTAGAGGTGGGTGATATTTAATGTTTCCTTGTTTGTCCAGAGTGGGTCAGACAGTATAATCTGTACCATTCCTGTTAGCTCTGAAATTCTAGTCTCAGTAGCATCTTTTATGGCTCATAAACTCTATGGAGCTATTTTTAGTTACCAGGGTAGTTAATATTTCCATCACATGATTTTATGAAAGCATTTGTCATTTAACCCTGAAATTGTACTGTGGCCTAAGTCCTCATTACCAGTTCCACACACTTTTATATGGGGAGGTGGATGAGATCACAATAATTACATTAATTTCTCAAGGTAACCCAGGAACAAATGTGATGATTCCTTGTACCATCTATACAAGGTACACAAATCAATCAGTAACAAAAACGCTGTGGGCCCTCCCTGGTGGGGTAATAGGCTACAGCGCAGCATATGAAGTTCTCCACAGCCACAGAAGCAGGAGTTCAATCTCCGCCGGGGAGGTGACCCACATGGCACAGAGGACCTCTCCTGTCTCACCCTCTGCTCCCCGCAGCAGTGTACTTTAGTAAATCTGCCTGTCATGCTCCCCACTCTGTCTCTGGTGAATCCTCTCACCCCATGTTTCTGGCTGTATCCTAGTTCTTGTATGCATACATAAATAAATCTTTAAGCAAATAAATACTTAACTGCTTGTGCTGAAATCATTTAAATTAACTCAATAAAAAGCAAATGCACAGAATGGTAAATCTATTTATTTTTAAATATTTTACACATTTTTAGATGTATTTGTTCAATGAACATGTATTTGCTTTATAATAATTTTCTTTAGCAACATTTATACATATTTTTAAACAAAAGTACATTTTTACATTTTTACAAATAACAAAGCGCACTCCTTTCCGATAATTTGTTTCTTTTTATCAAAGTTCTGAGAACGTTTCATGCTGGGATTCCAGATATTTGCTCCAAACTCACCATTAAGTTATATGAAGGATCCTTAAGACTCAAGTTTGGGAGAGATCCCTGGAGAGCATTTATATAACTGTTTCCCGTTTTTTGAGCTAGAAGCAGAAGCAAGGTATTCAGTTAATATTTACAAATTAATATCAAATAAATTTTCAACAATGTCTCAGTTCAAGGTCAATCATTATCTTTCAAAAATACCCTAACACTTTCCAGCCAGCTTACTGCAGTAAATTATTATCAAATCAGCTGACTCTTCCACCAACATCATTAACCGGCTAAAAATGCTACTCCTATTCTTGACCTTTAATGAGTGACTCCTCGGGGTGGGAAGGGGGTGTCTGTAGGTCACTGGGTCACAGCCATGACCTTCAGTGGTGACTCTGGTGGCAGTGAACTGCTAACAGAGCCTGGTCTAGAACACAAAGGGAGCCTGAGAAAGGCCAATAGGAATTCTGCCCCCTTTGTGAAGGGAGTATCAACAGAAAAGGAGGTCTTTTCCATGAGGCTTGTGACACTCAGCACACATGCATGAGGGGACCCCAATAAAAGCCACCACTAAGAGTTGGATGACAGGAAGGCCAAACACTGGAACAAGCCAGTGTGCCCTGTGCAGAAAATGGGACTACTGGCTCCTTGAAGGCTGGAATTTCAAGATCTTGGTGACATTTTGCAAAGGGCTAAGATGACCATCCTGAGGGGTGGGATGATGAAGTCAGTAGTTCTGGGGTATGAAGGGAGACGATCTCTTGTCACAGGCTGGTGGGGCATCTAACCAGACATCCAACAAATGAATCTTTACCAGTCAGATTTACTATACACAGAGTACTTTTCCTAGGCCTCACAGAGGTCAATATTTTTCTTACCAGACTGTTTGTAGTTCTGGATCTTAGTCTTCAGGTCTATTCTGTGGATGTTCTTTAAACATTTTTCTAATAAGTCCAATTGATCTGGAGCAAGCAGGTTTAGTTTCTCCAATTCAATCACAAGATCCAAGAAACTCTACAAGAGCCACCAGGAAAACAAATGTTAGCAGGGCTGACTACTAAGTCCCAAGCGCAAACCTCAGACGAACCATGTGATTTTTATCAACAAGAAAATATGACCAGAGGATCACTTCCATAGCTGTTAGTGACAAACCTGTGTCACAGTTTCTCCAAATTACATTCTGGGGTTTTACTCAGAAAAGAGGCAGTGACAAGTATTGTTGGTTTTTTTTTGGAGGGGGGTGAGAAGGGGCAAGCTGTGCCTAGGTTGGGAAGACATGTGAACTCTTCTGTGTCACCAGGGGGTAATGTGAGAGAGCAGGCCTGTGCTCATTCTCTTTTCAAAAAAGCCAAGTTGGTGTGATACTGAAAAACTCCTGAGGACTTTCCTAAAAACGCAAGAGAGGAAATGGCTGAAAGGAAGTTTCTACTAAAAAGAAAATCCCAATGGTGGTTTTGAAATTCCTAAAACCGCTGTCATGCTGGACATTCTCCTTCATTCTGAGGGCTTTGGGTGGGACACACAAGGTCAGAGCATTTTGCTACTCACTCCCCCGGCCCCAGGGCGGTGAAAGGACTGGGTTCGGAGGCCGGCTTGGCTTGGCTTGGCTTTGCTTTTATTTGCCCCTTCTGTGTATGGTGGTTACTGAAGTGCTATCTTTATGTTCTTAAATTAGGAATATAATTAAATCTATATAAGTAATCAGGAAATAGCTGATTAGAAGATAACAAAAAGGAAAAGTATTGTTATTTCATTTTCTTTCTCATTTTGCAGTTGATGATGGGGTCTCCAGTCACCCTGTATTTCCAGATTCCAGAAATAAACCTACGATCACTAAGGAATGTGAGGAAATTCTCAAGCAACGACTTAGCAGAGTCCTAAGGGGCAAGTTCTTTAAATACGTAGTTTCATGCACAATAGTTTTTCTACCCTGGCCTGAGGTCAGCGGTACCATAGAGGATCAGCTGAAATTGAGGACCTTCTCTAGTAAACTAACATCCCTCAGATCTTCACCTCCTACCTAGTCTTCAACCTCCAATCTCTGCTTTTGCTATTCTCAGATAGATAGATTGGAAGGATCTTTCCCTGACCCATCTCCATGGGCAGTCTAATGGCTCCACACAAACCTTAAACTAGCTGAGAACAAAGAAGTGGCAGTAGGAGAGCGAGGTGAGAGTGGACCAGCATGTCTTCTACTCAGCATGAGCAGAAGGGACCTCCCACCCCACCCAGAAGGTATGTCAAACCAAGAGGGAAAACTAATATAAGCCAAATCTATGAATTTTGCAAAATAAAGGACATTTATGAGGAGGAATGAAGCAGCCAGGCCTCCCCAGGAGAGATCGCCCTATTTCCTCTCAATTCATAAACCAGTTATTTTCCATCACTGACATTATAAGAAATCCTATACTTTTCTCAGTTCCCGCCTTCAACCACAGGGGTCTCTTTGCTCAAATGCTTCCTTCCACACAGTCGAAAACAACCCCCAATTTCTGTTAGACTCTTGGAAACATGAACCCAAAATAAAAAAACAAACTCACCTTATCCTTGGCTGTCTTGCCTCGGCCCATATAATCTCTCATGAGGAAAATTAATGAGGACACATCAGATTTATCCAAACCATCACCAATTTCTGTCATCAGCACCCTATAAACAAGACAAATTTCCTTAGGAATTTCAGATAGCAGGCCTACTGAGAACATCAAGAGCCTATGCTTCCTCTGCTAATAATTGGCTAAAAGACTAGTTCTTGCCCCCATTTGAATATGTGCCCCCACCATCATAAAACAGAAAGCCTAGGTCACCCCAGGAAGAGATCTTTTTTAAAAAAAGATATATTTGCTGCTCAGAAGAACTGGGGTATAGGCCATAGGTGCAGGGGGTAACAGGATCCACCAGAGGCAGAGTGGGGAGCAGAACAGGCAGATCTACTGAAGAACACTGTTAAGGGATCAATGGGTGGGTCAGGAGAGGTCTGTTGTGCCAGGTGGGCCAGATCCCTAGTGGACTGGCCAAGCTGTAGTGGTTACAGCACTGAGACTTATCTCCTAGGCGATCAGGGAGGACCCCAGGAAGAGATCTTAAGGGAACTCATCCTTTCCCCAATTTTCAATGGATGACAGTACCTTCCTTTCCAACTAACTGCTCTGAAAATAACTCAGAGAATAAAAACTTCCCTAAAGAATCCCCTAGTTTCCCCTGAAGTTATAATGAAAGAGGTGAAGAATCTAAATGACTAAAATGAAGATCAGAAATAGAATGCAAAGTGAACTTATTTTCTCTGTTTAACAAATTCCCAGGAGATGGTGATTCTGCTGGTCCAAGGATCCTACTTTGATTCATAAGAGTCTAGAGCACAGTAACATGGGCAGTGCCCTGGTTCCTCCCTAACTTACAGTGTAAAGGGCATCTTGGGGGTGGAGACTGTGGATGACTTTGTGTACAAAGCCCTTAATGACTCAGTGACCCCTGTTCCAGGCGCTACCGTCATGCTTTATCAGGAAACCTCATGCTTTGCATTACTCTTGACATTGTCATCACTGCTCAACAGGCTGATTTCCCATTTCTGGAGGTCGGAAGATTTTGTATTCACTTTGCTAAATACGTGACCTATGTCCACCCACAACAAAGCCCATTGAACAAGTAAAGGGATCAATCTAGCACCCTACTCCCACTGCCCAGACCCTGCCCTGAGGAACTGCTTCCACTCTCCATCGCAAGGAGATCAGAAGTAGACAGAGTGCCCTAATGTATTCCTGAAATCCAGTCAGTGCCTTGCCAAAAGTTTGAAGATGACTGACATTATGTGATGGTTGGAGATGTGGATAATGATCAAGAATGACAAACACAAAAATAACAGCCCCTTGCATTTGTAGTCTGTTTTCAACAATATTTTGCATACTAAACTATCACAATGGGTCTCCGACAATCAAACTTGTGAACTCAGTTACTATTCTTAGTTTTACGAGCAAGACAATGAAGACCCAACCAAGTTTAGTAACCAGCTCAGTCTACGTGTGAGGCCTTTAACTAGTGGTTCTGAGGCCTTACAGACCCCAAGTTTCAAACCCTTTCCTAGGCCCACACTGCTTTCGACTGTCTTTAATATAGTTCTTAATAATATACGTCACCTCCAAATAGGCATTATCAATATAACTAAAGGCATGGTGTAGAGAAAAAGAACCACTAATTTAAGGTTCTAAGTTCTCTTCGCTTCTCAGTAACACAGGCTTAAGGGTGGCTTGTGCTCTCCTGTGCTGGCAGGAGAGTACTATGTGAACACGAGGAAGAAGACTCTGGTATTCTGTTATCTGAACCAAAGGGGACCCCAGCAGCTCTTCTGCTCTCAACTAAAGAGAGCTTACAAGTGGTTAACAGATGTTCAACTTGGGCTCCCAGCATGGAGTGAGGGGCACAAAAAACTCACAGAGGGAGTGTACCCCACTTATTTCCTCAGAGGGGAAAGACATACAAAGACACAGAGACCTCAGGAAGATCACAGTCAGAGTTATTTCCTTCCTCAGTACTGAAAGTTGCCAGGATCTGACATCACAGAAAATCAGCTAGCAAAGGCCACTGAAGAGCTCACAGAGACAGGCAAGAATTACTAGAATTACTCTTATTCACCCCTCCCTTTTTTTGTTCATTAAACAAACAAAGCATCCATCATTCTCCTTTCATTATGATCTCTCCAATTCCTTTAAGCATGTATTTGGAGTCCAGAGTCCAAAGGAATGAAGTAACATCATACTGGATTTGGATCAGTGGGTAGAGAAGGCCAAAGTAGCTGCTTTTCTCTCCTGTGCTCATTTCTATTGTTTAGCAGTCTGGACTGTCTCCCTCCCGCTGGGTCTAGCCTCAGGAATTACCGAAACCAATGCGTTACCTATAGTCCGAAACAAGACGGGGGTTTCTGAGCAGGTGAGCCTCCACTGTCTTTTTGTCCATCTTCAAGATCCGCTTAAGCAAGTCAAACCGCCTCACTCTGTAGAGCAGTTCAGCCAAGTCCACCACAGACAGTTTGCCCCTCTCGCTCAAAATATCCAAGAGGTCCCTGACATTGGGCGGAGCTGCGTCTGCAGCAATATCCCTGCACAAAAACAGTAGCACCTCCTTCTCTTCTTCATCCAGTGCCTCCTCGACTTGATGGAGGACCTCCGCAGACATCCTGCACAGTGTCATTCCCAGGAACCGCAGGAATGAAACTCCAGTCCAGTCACTAGAAGCCTCTGAAGATACCAACTTCATTGCTGCTGGCTGTCTTCATTGCTTTCAGAGTTCTTTCCAATGAAGGAGTTCTGTGGTTAGAAAAGTACTTTTTAATATCCTCGTGTCGGAGTAACAAATGCCTACAACTCAAATAGGCTCTTCTCTTTCTGGTTTCTAACTTGGAAGGTTAAGTTCATACCGTTGAAGTTACAGACAGGGAGAACCAGCAGACAAAGCAACTAATACACCAACCAGACAGAGTAAATTACATTTTTAAAGGAAATGAAACCAAAGACAAATTATTTCCAAAAATCCCACAGACTTTATCAGAACTGGTCAAAATGTAAAGTATGCTAAGGGGAAAATATAACTAGGTAAAGTGATAACTGGGGGGTGGAAATGCCCAAATGACTAAACAGTTGACTCCCCACACAGGGCCTTTCCCCTGGGAGTCTTGAACAAAAGTGGGTGTTAGCAAAGGACCACATGCAGCTATCAAAACTGACTGGAGGTTTCTGTCCCACCCCCTCACATTTTTTTTCAGTTGTTCCCCTCCTTCACACCTGTTAGCAGAAACCTCTGTTGCCATGGTCCCAAAGCCCAGGGCCCTTTGCAAAGCTTCATCAGGTCTGTTTATCAGACCTGGCACTACCATTGAATACAGGTTGTGCCAAGCAGGTGTGACTTCCAAATCAGACCCTGAGTTCAGGGGTTGCCGCCTCTCAGGACACTGCCTGAGTGCAGTAATCATCACTGGAGTTGCCGACAGTGCCAGTGGAAGGAAGGAGGCAGAGTGGGGCTCTGGAGAAAGTCCTCACTCCTGCGAGGAAAGCCAGGCAGGAGTGGGGAGTGAGGGGTGTTGTGGGTAACTTCTTCCACTGGAACTCACACTATTTTCTTTCATAATTTAAGTTGCAACTGATAATCATTAGCTAGCTACCCGAAAGTTGGCTATGCTTTATGTTGAAAAAGTTCTTGTGCTCTGGGAGTACCTTGTCTGTTTATGTCAGAGCATTTCAGGTTCAAAGCTAGTCTTAGGCCCTCCCTGGTGGCGCAGCAGGTTAAAGCACGGCACAAAGAAGCTTAAACCACTTCTGTATGAGTTTGATCCCCGCCTGCCCCCGAGGTGACCACATGGCGTGGCAGACCTCTCCTGACCCACCCGCTGCTCCCCTCAGCAGTGTACTTTGTCTGCCTGTTCTGCTCCCCGCTCTGTCTCTGGTGGCTCCTCCCAACCTCCACATCTCTGGCCTGTACCCCAGTTCTGTATGAATAAATAAATAAATCTTCAGAGAAAAAAAAAAGCTAATCTTAGCAAGGAAATTAGAAACATAACCCACCTGTAAGTTGCTAACTGTTGCTACATATTTATTTGTGTACAAGTATATTTATACCTAGCCAACTATATTTAGTGAAAGGAGCATTGAATCTATTTCATTTATTGATATACAACTTCAGCCCACAAAAGATTATAATCATCTTATGTATGATAAACAGAGAAGCAGAAAAATTTTATATGAGAACAATGGGGGTAAATTAGGTTAGAAAGTCAAAACATGACAGGGGGTAAGAGAATACAACACAAATAAAACTGAATTTGTTCTAGAGCTTCCTGTCAATAACAGCAAAAAGGGATACTTAGGATTATTAAATAGTTCTCTATTTAAAAATTTGTTTCTCTATTTCTTAGAGGAAGATTTTCCTAGATCCAGGGTTTCCCATCAGTGAAAATCTTAAGGAGTACTTTAGTGACTGAGGGTAATAAAATTACATTTATTTTTTTTTCAATTTAAAATATTTTGAAGTACATTATTCAGCTATACCTTTCACATCAGTCTTCTCAAGGAAACTAAATTGTTCAATAAAAGTAGAAAAACTGTTACAGAGATGATTTTTTTTTTAATCTGAAATGGAATACTAATTTTATGTGTTCTGGAAAGCCTAATTCTATACTCTATATATAAACAAAAAATACTTTAAGTTAAACATCATTTCCAGTTCTTTCTTTATTCATTTTTTTTTTTAACAGAAAAGGAGGATTTATTGAAGTGCCCTGCAAGGGAACAGGGGGCGGTATCTGAGCCCAGTTCTTCTTAAAGATTTTTTTATAGATTTTTTTTTAAAGATTTATTTATTTGTGCATACAGAACTGGGGTACAGGCCAGAGGCTCAGGGGCGGTGAGAGGCTTCCCCAGAGACAGAGTGTGAAGAAGAACAGGCAGATCTAGGTCTGCTACGTCATGTGGTCACCTCCGGGGCAGGCAGGAATCGAACTCATGCAGAAGTGGCTTTAGCTTCTCAGTGCTGTGCTTTAACCCACTGCACCACCAGGGAGGGCCTAGTTCTTTTTTTTAAAAACTGTGATCTAGCTTTTAGAATTCATAAGCATCAATGCTATAACAAGGTCACCAAAAATTAACAAAATTAGGTAATCAATTTTAAAAACCTCCTACCAAAATTATACCCAAGACTGCGCCCTGCCAGTCACAAGCACCCAGCAAGAGAACTGGCTCGCTCTCTTCCCTCTGTACTAATGGAGATGGAGTTTGGCAGCAAAATCCACATTACTCAGTGGTAGCATCTGGCATGTTCAGAGAAAATACCAGAAGGAAAACTACTGATCCCAAGCTGAGCCAGGCCAACCAGGTGCAGCAAAATACCACTGTGGGTATGTTAAGGGGTGCTGGGGACAGTCAACTGTGGCTAAAGGTAATGGAAAGGGGAGAGAGCATGAGAGAAAGTGGGAGCAGAAGTAGGGTTAGGAACCAAATAATCACTACTTTGTTTCTTTTCAGCACAAGCCAAGAAATAACAAAAGTTGTTCAGACTAGGGAAGCCCATAAGGTGCCCCTGAGAAAAACCCAAACCACCCCCTCTTAAGGGAACTTTAGACACTTTTTTTGCAGGATGTGAGCTCATGCTTAAAATTAAAATCACACACAGTGCAACTCCCTGGAGGCGCAGTGGGTTAAAGCACAGCACTAAGAAGCTAAAGCCACTTCAGCATGAGTCCGATCCCCGCCCAGTGTGACCCACATCATGCAGACCTCTCCTGACCCACCCACTGCTCCCCTCAGCAGTATACTTCCTCAGTCCGCCTGTTCTGCTCCCAACTCTGTCTCTGATGAATCCTCTCACCGCAGGAGCACCTCTGGCCTGTACCCCAGTTCTATATGCACAAATAAATAAATCTTTAAAAATGAAATTAACCACACACGAAAATAAAAGTAACCATGACAGCGGTAGGCAAAATAACAACACTCACATCTGAGGAAACTAATCTGAAAGTTTAAAATACGTTTTAAAACATTCTAGAAGATAAGGGAAGTCTCTGCAATGTGATGCATTAAATTAATGGCTTATAATCAGGGGTGATTTTGCCTCCCATGGGATATTTTGACAGTATATGGAGACATTTTTCCTCCATCTCACAACATGCTGCCATTGGCACCTGCAGGAGAGACAAGGGATGTTTCTAGACCCCCCAGAATACAAGCTCCCCACAGAATACAAGCTCCCCAGCGCAAAACACCAGTAGTGCCTAAGTTGAGAACCCCTATACTAGATTATCTGGAAAGAAACTCTAGCTGTAAGAGACACTAAGCTGCTCAATAAAACAGCAACATTTGCTCAAATACATAGCTGGGCATGTAAGAAAGTATGGGAAATTGTAGGGAGCCTAAAAGGAACAGCACAAAGTGAAAATTTACAATATGTAATGGCATCAAAATAGATAACATATAGATATGATGCCAACAAATAAACATGCCAGACATTAACAAAAAAAAACAAACTCAAAATATCATTGAAAAGATAATAATAATGACCTTGATAAGTGGAAATTTTATCTTGTTCACGAAGCGTGATCCAATGTAATAAAGGTGTGAGTCTGCTAAAAAAGCTGATCCCTGCATTAAAAGCAAGGGAGTTTTATCTTGCAAAATAGCGATCTACAAACATGTACCAAACATATAGCATATAACCAGTTAAATAGTAATTACTAGAAAAAAATCTATAACAAATATTATAGCTAATAGTGTATGTTAGAAGCATTCCCTTAAAAAGCCAGCCTCCAAGTAGAGCCGGAAGATGACCACCTTCTAGATCTACTTCCAGAGGAAGAGGGGTGAAGTCTGCATATTCGCCAAATTTGAATGTTGTTGGAATAGATCTGAAGTTGTGGTCATGACTGGATCACACACTAATTTCTTCAGAACGTCTGACAGAGACTCCAAGTAAAACATAACCTAGAAGCATCTCCAGAAAACGATAAACCTAGCACGATTTTGAAGCAAACGCCATCTGAGCAGGTGGCAAGCGAAAAAATGATGCAGTAAGTAATGCCAGCCTGGACCGCAAGGAAGCCTGCCTTACAGCCTGGCATCTAGAGAAAAACATCACTGCTGTAGCTACTACAGACAACCCATACATATTTCAAGACAAAGTGAGTTGAGGTTGGCTTTCCTGGCAGAAAAGCACACTTACTACTTAGTTGAGATAGCTGACTCTAGCATTTGTGGTTCCCCCCCAAAAAGAACAGCCCGTTGTGGCTCCCCGTTTGACAATGTGTCACTCATATTTGACAGCTACACGAAGAGAGCTCGATAGATTCATCACTGTGTTTTCAGATCTGCTAGCCATTTATATAGGATAGGAAGCTTTTAATTTCAATGACTTCTTGCACCATCTTGCCTTATTGACTAGACTGGACTGTTCAGCTTTGATTTACTAAATTTTTTATGCCTTTTATTGTGATATCAATAGTGAAAGCCTTCAGTCATGCTCTTGGGGTTTAACTGTGTATCTTCACTACTGTATCATTTGTGGGGTACACCAGTCCCCACTTTTAAAAATGAAATATTAGGACCCTCCCTGGTGGCACAATGGGTTAAAGCACAGCAATGCAAAGTTAGCCACAGCCACTTCAGAACCAGTTCCATTCCAGGCCAGGGAGCTGACCCACATAGCACAGCAGACCTCTCCAGTCCGGCCAGCTGCTCCCCTCAGCAGTGTACTTCGCTGATCTGCCTATCTGCTCCCCCCATGTTCTGGTGAATTCTCTCACACAACCGCACACCTCTGGCCTGCA